AAAAAAAAGAAAAGCAGTGTGTCACTTCACTAAATGTAGTCTCCTGGGAATCAGGCAACTGATAAGCAACGCCGTTATCGACCGCCTCGGCTCCGATCCTGCGCTCGGGTTCCCGCGGCAGAACCCGACCGCAGGACCCGGGCGATGGTTTCCGTCTATCCGCTCCCGAGACACGAAAAGGGACACAGCTTTCACAAAACGGAGGCATCCCTTAAGTTGCAAAGTAGGCATGTTAACTATTGGCTTGGCAGTGAACCACTTCAAATTATAAAAAGGTATTTGCTTTTTTTTTTTTAATTAATTAATAAATAAATACTAGATGATCTCAATTGTACCAAAACTGGATATAAGAAAAAAAGACCTGTGCAAAAATACATATTTAAATATGTACAATCAATTAACAAAATATGTCTTCTGAAATAGGGATACTTCAATATTTATAATAGAACAAGAAATTCCAAAATAAAGATACAAAAGTATGGTTTGTTTTTTTTTTTTCCTTGTATAATTCTTTGTTCATCATTGCAGCAATTTTTTAGGTTAAGAAAACTGCAGGAGTCATAACGAGAAGTTGGAAAGACTATAAAAACTGTATCTCTTAAATTAATACCAAAATCTGTCTAGAAACAACCCAGCCACTGCAAATTCAATTTTGCAAGGAAAATTAATTTTAAGCTTCCTTAATTATTTACAGTAAGAACTACGTGACAATAAAAGCTTTAGGAAAAAAGTTCTGCTTGTAACCAAGATCTAAAACACAATATTTTAGCAGGTCTATGCTCAAGGGCAGACAGAATTTACGCCGTTCTAACTTTTTCCTCCCAGTGGCTTAAACCCACGCGACGCAGGTGACTGCAGACACTGGCTCTGGACAAGCAGCGATCAGGAATTCACTTTTTAACACGTCTGCTATCGAAGGAGCAAGAATTTGCCATTATGCTTTCAGATCAACAGAACCTTAAAAGCAAAATAAAAACCAGAGGAGAGTTCGATCACAAACTCACTATCGCTCAATCTTGCCGAATTTTTGTTTCCTTTCCCTTTGTGCCTACCAAGAGTCAAATTGCACTTGTGACTGAGGCTATCCTGAAGTGGAAGCTCTGCCCCAGGGGCTTCATCAGAGCGCAGATTTCACTCAAAACGTGCAGGATTTAACACGCTTCCATTTCTCTTTGTGGCACATCACTTTGGTTCCTTCTAGGTTAAACCAATCGCAGCTCTAACAATCCTTTCAACAGGGCATCTTATCGAATACGCATCCTTTTGTTCCTGAAAAGTTGTCTTTTATGTTTTTTTTTAAAAAAGTTTGCATAATAAGTGTCTTTAGTACGTTGCTTTCTCAACGTGATCTTTTGTATCTATTCAAAGCTAAAGTGTCTGCATAGAGGCTTCTTGTTGTTTTGCTGTACAACAACGATTTTGTAGCAAGTTCAGGTTAAACTGAAAGCATCGTTAGGTAAACTACTAAGCAACTGCTACTCAGAGTGGCTTTGGATTCCCTGATGTACTACTTGCCACCAGAACTGGGGAGAAGGCTGGGCTACGTGAACAATTGGCCAGGCTCAGATTGTCTCTTCTCAGCAACAGCTGATGCCCCTTTAAGGCAGAAAAAAAAATATCTTCTTGGTTAGGAATTTGTTTTCCTTTGCTTTGCCCCCTTAATAAAAATTTTTGAGACTTTACCTGATGTTTAAAAACTTAAATCTAGACGAATCAAATAATTATACAGTAAGCCCTTTAGCAGAATTCACTTTTGAGGTGTTTTGAAGCGAGACAAAACATTTCAGAAAAATTGACTGGACTATATAAAACTGTAAAGGCCCCTTTATTATTCGTGAAGCCTGGGGAGGCGTGGGATGACTGCGATGTGTACGTCTGCGCTGTACGGTGAACTCTGCTGTCAAATCGGCGTTTATGCCAGAATTTAAAAAAATAAAAAATAAAAAATAAATCTGAGTGGTTGAAAGCGTAGTATGTTAATGATTTAGTTACATAAACAAGGTATAAAGAAACTGACTTATGGTTTTTAGAAAATATTTAAATACTTTAAATACTTAGTTTTAAAAGGGCTGTTTTTACAGGCTGGAAGGCAAATCCAGCCTAATTTAACCAATACAGTTGGGTTTTTTTTAAATAACAAAGGCCTACGGTATACAGTATAGATCAATTAATACGTTCTTTGGGCATTTGCCTTTGTTTGATGTTTTGGGATTTTTTTAAAATAAAATTAACTTTTATTTTCTTCTACAATCAAATCTTATTTGAAAGAATAGAAAATAGGTTTTGTATAATGCAGGTACAACATTTTTATACTTGTTTTCTGAGCAATGGCCTCAAACAAGTTTTTCTGGGTTTTGTTGGGTTTGTTTTGCGGTGGGTTTTTTTTTAAACTCCTGATAGCTTCTTATCCCAAATTACTTGCAAAAGGCTGGGCAAAACACAGACTATTTTTTGAATTGTGCTATTTTTATATTCCATTAAAGGAACATTGCTATAAAAACACTAAAGCCATATTTCCCTTCTTGAGGGCTTCTTTCCATTGTGCCTCACACATTTTTCCCCCTTGTCACGGGGTCCTCTCCATTGAGGGTGTCTGTCTGGTTAGCTATCACCTACAAAAGACACTATCAGTATAAAAATAAGTCCACAGTAACGTTTATTTCCCCCCAGAAAACATTCGTTTGCCCAGCCAATCTATGTCAAATAGTGGCAAGATGATGTACTCCTGTAAGTAAAATCTCACAGGTTGGTAGCAAACAGTCCAGACCACCGTTAACACTGATAAGAGCAATTATGTGGCTGAACTTCATCCAGTGTCCATTTCTAGTATATTCACTGCTACAGACATGGCTTCAGGGAAATTCCTTGTTTAAGTGACAGTCCAGTAGATTTCCACACCTGAGGACCATGGGAAGTTGGGAAAAATCAAGGCATCTTGGAGTCCAGAAATCCAGATGGAGGTTTTGCTTGTAGTGAAAATTGTCCAGTTCGTTTCTCACCATGGTGCATTCAGCTATCAGGGACGTGCCTTTGGCTTTTGAGCAAGCAAAAGAAAGAGAAGGATGAGTGAGCCAGGCTGTTGTAGCAGATGCCCTTAAAAGACATTTTCTGGATAATGAGAGCATATTTTGGGGTGAATCAGCAGGCACAATGTGACACCACTAAGGCAACACCACCATGCGCTTGGCTGGCTTCTCCAAGACTTGAAAATTCTCAAGCTAAAGCTCTCTAAAGTTATAATGGTCTCAGACATGACTTCCTTCCTTAATTCACTTCAAATTATATTTCTCCTTTATTTATATGGCATAGTTGAAATAGTAACTATTAGGTAAGTCCAAAAATAAATTCAGCCATCTGAATGCTTTTTTTTTTGTTACAGTAAACAACATAACGGTGAAAATCTTCCTCTATGGCTGAAACGGAAAACGAAGAAATCATTCTGAAAAAGCTCTTACTGACCTCCTAGCTCTCCAGGTACACAGATTTCAGATTCTTGGCACCAGAAGCAACAAAAAGTTTCTTGGGTTTTCAGTCTTGAAAAATCTAGTTCTAAACCTGCTCTCTAAAATTCCATCTTCTATACTCTCCTTGAGCTGTATCAAATTATTTTTACCCCTCCAAGTGATCCTCCAAGTCAATTTGAATTACTAAGTCTGAGCTATCGCTTTCTAAATTACCTCTCATCCTCACTTACCAAGTTTTTCTCCCAACACATTACTCCTTTTCCAGTGCAATTTGTTTAAAAACCCGGAAACCCAAACTAATTTTTAAAATAGGATCTTACATAAGCATGAGATCTGCTTCCTTTATAGTAAATCTGTTCGTTTTACCAACTCAAAAGGTTTCATTCTTACTTATAACATTTAATCTTGTTATTACTAAGAAGTTAGTCAATGGCACCTTGGGATAATAGCCTTATTTTATCACAGCATCACAGTTCTGTTATCAGCATCATTATGTTACGCTTTGTAGAATGTTTACTACTGACACAGAAACAAGAAGTCAGGCTGAGACATGCAGCTCAGTTCCTGGCTGGCTGGCAAGATGTATTTTTAAAATTTTTTAAATCCTCTTTTTTTTTTTTTTTTTTTTTAAATGTGAAGACTGAATTTAACCTGAGAGCAAGTCACAGGCAACATCTGAGGAACTTGGAACGTCATATTTAAGGTTACTTTAAAAAAAAAGCTACACTTTGTGAGAGTGTTAAGAGTCTTGTGTGAATGTACTATAAACCAACCCAAAATGAGTAGTGGATAAATAAGAGAATTACCTTTTATTTGAATAGGATCTGGAACTGGCTAGCTAATTAAGAGAACACACGTAATACAGGCATGTGAAGAGGCATTTTCGTATCTGCTTAGTTTGAGACAAAATGTCATACCTGATGAAAGAGAGAATTGTTCATCAGTCCTTGCGTCCCTGGGATTGCACCAGTGTGTTTTGCATGAACGTTGTTCACCGATGTCAATTTGGCAACTTTGTTTGATTTGCTGCTGCTGCTGCTGCTGTTAATGCTGCTTGAACCAGGTGAGCACTTTCTTTTCTTTCCTATCAATTTGTCAAGGGAAGTATGCGAATGTGAAAAACTGCTGTGTGAATTGACAGTCAGCTCGCTGGACTGATGAACAAACGGCCCCAAGGAGAGCGTGGAGTCGCTGCTGTTCATCATCACACTCATTCTCTTTATCGATTCTGCAGGGCTCCCAGTCGGAGGACCCCTCCCTGATTGGTCATGCTTGAGGCTAACGGAGTTGGCTTTGCTAGTCATACAGTTGAGGCCAACGCTGTGGGACGAAGCTGTCACCGACGGATGATAGGCGGTCCCAGAGTTTCCAGAGTTAACCACACAGTTTTTTCTAAAGGACTCTGTGGAATGAGAAGGTGCTAGCAGTGCGGAACTGTTTTTACGCTTCTTTCCTGAGCCGCCGCTGCTACTGACGCTGCCGGTACTGTTACAGGTGCCACTGCCAGCAGAAGATTCCTTAGGTTTAAAAGATTTGCTGGATTTCATTTTCTGAGGTTTGCTGGGCATAGGTGAAGGTACAGAGGAAAGCACTGTAGGTGTTGAAGGGGATGAAGACACTTGTCTTGATTGCATACTGCTGACAGGATCCACTGCACCCAAAGCAGCAGGATTGGCATTTAGTGTCGTTCCATGGGATGGTACCGATTTATTATTCAGAGACACGCAGGAAGGAGATACCAATGCTGGCGATGACATAACCGTGGTGGGTAAGAGGAAACCTGCTGCACTGACACCGTACTGCGAAGCAGGCATCGAGTTTGTCCGATGTGGTGCACGAACTGATGCTGTACTACTAGATGCTGGAGGAATTTTCCTGCAGGTGAGCAGAAACACAAGCAAAAACCTACATAGCTACCATCCGTCGGAAAAACACCCAGTCTAATGGTGCTACACTTAAGTGATTGTATCTTGAAGTGGAATAACGCCACTAAAGTGTTTTACTAAATTGTTGCAAAAATATAAAGCATAGACTATCAAACTTTCATCCAATTAATTTGTACACAATATGCTTTTCTTTAACTAGAATCACAGGCTTCATGTATTTCTACAAATACCGAGAAGAATAAGAACTCTGTCACTTCTACTCACTTCCACATCTGTGAATTCAGATGCTTCTCCAGCATGAAGTCAAGTGCACATCGAATACGGTTCCACCGCTTGTCAAACACGTAATAACCTCTTCCAATTTGCCGACTACCAAATGTGCAAAACTGAAAAGACAGATTTTTATTGGGGTTTTCTACTTTCAGTAACAACTCGCTGAATAACAGTGTATTTGTTTATAAATAGATATTGCTACATTAATACAGTTTTAGATGTTTAAATCAAGGACAAAAAATATAAATTAGATTTTTTATTTCTATGGTATAACAACTATTTTAAATTTTTGGCCTTGGTATATTGGGATTATTTTCTTCCCGTCTGATAGTCTCATACTTCTATCCAAAAGCAGAGGTCAAATTTGAATAGCTCTGATTAAACAGGGAAGGACAGCAGTGTGTGTGTATAAAAACATATATGTATATGTAACATTTCTTTCCAAGGAGCTATCAGCTATTTGCTCATAGTCTGTTTTATAAAAAAGGAAATAATCTGATACACAGGCTAGGCAATAAAGCTTGTGTTTTTAGTTAGACCAACTGGCTTTTATGAAGATTTAAATATTAAAACAACACATCACTGCTACCTTTACTGTGATGATTGGCATCCTGAGTAAAAAACATGCGTGTCTGTGGGAAAGTCCAATAACAAAATCTCACCAAAAAGGCACTGTTTACATGTTCTTATTCCAAAAACACAGCCCTTTAGAGCAGTTACCAATTTAACCTTCAGTATTTTGGCGTTTTGATTTCTTTTGGATCGGAGAAGTGAGGTCCAAACACATTTCTTTAGCATGTTTACTTTGGAACTACAGTTAAATCCTCATTGCCTACTAGGCAACAAAACAATTTTCTTAAAATCCAGAAAAAAAAAATACATCACATACCCAACAGAAAACCCCCCTTAAAACCCCCAAGTTAGTTGTTTACAAGTTTAGAGCCAGCGAGAAATCAAGGTTAACTTTTACTCGAAACGTACAGCGGCTGGTTGAGGATGATGACCTGAATAATGACAATCCAGTTTTTCAACAGGCTCTTCTTTTTCATCACATTCTCCCTCATCACTGGATAACCGAGATGCTGGCTCAGCTGCAGGCAAGGGAGGGTGCGGGGACTCATGGACAGAAGGAGACTCACTAGGGGCATTTCCACTGTGCTGGGCTGGACAGCCTGGAGGCCTGGGCAAGGCAAGCAGTACAGGTGTTACTGAACTACGTCTAGTTAAAAATTCCAAGCTTAAGTGATTATTATCACTGACAGAAGGAAATCATAACAGATTTCTGATATTTTCCACAGTCTCATAACATCGAGAAGAAGCACAGAAGGTATGGTATCCCTGGAAAAGCAGCATTGTCTAATCATTGCTGAACTGCTTTTATTGATGCAAGTCATCTTTTACTATTTCAAACACCAAATCTTCCTTGCTATGAGTTACAGCTCAGCATGTAATTGCAAATTACAGGCAGACAGTCACCAGGCCTAGAGCAAAAATAACACCCCATCCAACAGAACCATATCGTTCTTTCAAAATCCACCTGATGAAGCTACCAGCATTAATTTAATGTCTTTGGATCTCCAGATTTTCCTTACCTTGGAAGACTGGGGGGGTGAGGTTTGGGTTTATTAGGTAATAAAGGCTTTGATTCTGTAAGAGTAACTCCATGAGAATTTTGGTGCAGCTCCTGGGAAGTTTTAGTAGGTGAGGGATGTGGTTCCCTGAGAGGGGGCATCTGCTGATGATGATCCGAATGTCGAAGAAGTTCCTTTTCCCTGGTTTTGCTTTTGTGCTCAGCTAGTAACAAATCAAATCGTTTTCTTCGACCCTGTACAGCCCTCCGCTGGGTTAAGGAATGTGTCTGCAAAACCATGGATAAATAATTAATCCCAGGCTATTAGATTTGTGGAAATTAAACAGGCAGAACATGTGTCTCTAGAGCTCTAGAACAGAGAAAACGATCACATTCATGGTTTAGTAAACAAATGGAAGAATGACTTAGAAAACAAACTTTAAATTTGCTTTGTGGATCATTATATCCCTGTCTGATACAAAATAACAAAAACCAGCAATGGAGTAAAAGGCTTCTTTCAAATTTTTAAAAAAGAAACTATCAAAGTTCTTATAAGGTTAAGACTAGAATTGAAAAATCTTTTTTACATTGATATTTTAGTTGCCAACTAGTGCACAACCAAAAATACTAAATACTTACTTTCATTTATGAAACTTTATAGAATCATAGAATGGTTAGCGTTGGAACTTCCACTTATATTTTAAACAATAATGTTTAAAATCAGACTTTCAATGGGACACTTGAAAAATATTTATAAAAATACTTTGCTTCATTCTAAATACAAATCAATTCCTTGAAAACTAATGTAATCAAATAGATACCAAGGAATGTAAAAAATACAGCAGAATCCAGTCAGAGAGAACTCAAAGTCCTTTGAGTGTCCTGAATGCTACACATAGTAACATGTATATGTGTATATATAGCACAAATTCTAGGTAAAGTGAAATAGATAGAAGTTATTTTTCTGAATTGTTAACGTCACATATAATATCTTTTTTCATATGGCATAAAAGGTTTGACTGGGTTCGTTTCAGCAGCTAAAAATCATTGCAAAATTCAGACACAAATAGCAATTCCAAAAAATATTTTGTAAGTAGGTATAATATAAGGAATTTATGCTGAGAAACTTTACTTTCTTTCTCTTTTATACTTTTGATTTGCCTAGTTCTCTTCTCAAATCTTGAAGCTTTTCCCTTCTCTGTTGGCCAAACAATTGTCTCCCTGCTGTAATTCCAAAAGGGCAATGTGTTCAAGTTCAGTTCCTCTGGGTCCTTACTAGCAGCATCATTTACCTTTGTTCTGTAGGTGGTTTATTTACCAGATGCTTCCCCTACTGACAGCTGAGCAGCTTCGCAGGAAAGCAGCTAAATATTACACAATTGCAAGGGACCTGGATTTTTGGCTCCTCGGGACTAAGTGATACCTCTCTGACCCCCAAGATTTTTGAGCCAGAGAACACATTTCATCCGATTTAAAGTTTTTATGGATTGTTTAATTTAGAGTTTGACCTCTAGGCATACTCTGTGGCTTCTGCAGAAGACTTATTTCTGAGCTGGCTGCAGTCATACATCAAGCAGCATTAGCATTTACACAAACACCTCCTAAGTATCTGCTGCAGACTCTGCTGGGGGGAAAGAGGGAGGTGCGAGAGGGGAGGAGCTTGATTTATTTAAATTCTGCATAAACAAATAATACTTTTAATGCTTATGAGGAATTTCAAAATTCACGATCTATGACCCAAAGGTTATCCCCAAAAAGAAGGACACGCTGGTCCCCTACTACCGACATGTGGTATAGCACAGCCTGTCCCATGCCAACATGGATGTTTAAAGGGTTTATACAAAACTACAAATCTCAAGGTTACTTTAAGAAATATATTTTCGAATAAATAATTAACAACTTTGAAAACAATTCCTTCTTGGTTCTGGGCAACATGTTTTGAGAGGTACCATTTACAGTGGTAATTACTGATGGTAAAAATGTCTAGTTTTCTGTCATTTTCCTCAGGAAATTGAAGCAAAACTTTGCATAATCTTATTCTGATTAAGATATCCTACCTTGCATGTCAAAGACCTAGTACAAGGTTTCCTGGTTTCCACATCAATGACACCACAGTATATATCAGGATCAAATTCTCTCTCTGTCGGAGGTACACAGTATTGAAAAGTTATCAAAAGACATTTTGAAATACTAACATTTATTTTCATTAGAAAAATTAACCATATTTGAAACTGTTTTCAAATGTAACACAGGCAAACGTACAAATAAAGGCATCCAATAAAATTGTTGAAATAAAATCTTCTACCCTCTCAGCAAGTTTAAGGTGTGCTGAAATACAGATCTCAAATCTACAAACAGAATGGAAAAATTTACAGCTGTAAGGCACCCTGAAAGAGCAGTAGGTCCCGCATGTTAGGATTAGAGGTCACCATCAATATGACCTGTGGTAAACAAATGGTGAGTTTTTGTTGTTGGTTTTGGTGCGAAGAATTTTTCTACCATTCTACTAATACTCAAAGTTATTGTGTTTAAAAAGTGTAAAGAGCAGAGTGGGTTTACATTTTTGAGTTTATGAGGTGCTAGTTGTTCCATTTTCTATGTACATTTGGGCCTTCCTTATAGAAAGAAGGAAAAGGAAATTTTTTAAGACAGTAGAAGCACATTTTAAAATGAGAACTGACAGGTCTTTGAGGTCTGTATGGTTTCTGAAAGCAATAGCCACAAGTCAAGTTGTTTACATCCTTTAGGAGTATGTCAAGTCATAGATTTAAACTCTAATACATAAAACATACCTACTTACAAGTTACAGCATTATAAAAGTGTTTAATTTACTTCTGGAACTTGTTTCTGCACATTCCATACATGTATTTCTATATATACACTACTAAGAGGAGTATAGCAAATAATAATTAAAAAAAATTACCTGACAATCTTTTATGTAAAAATTTCCTATTATTCGTATTTTCCTCAGGTTTCTTTTCCAAAAATGGAGGCACAGAGAGAAGACCTTTACCATTCAGTATCTGTCCAGGGGAAGGCAAGGGTGGCTTTGGTATTGAGGGACAATTAAGGCCAGTCTTTATTGAGGAACTCACAGTAGTAGAACAAGTTGGACCAACAGCAGCTTTCAGTTGGGCACCATCTATCTTTGGATGAATCTTTTCCACTTTGACAGATGGAGTCATACTATTATTTACAAAAAACAAAGAAGGGAAAAATGAAAATTATAGTCATACATGATAAGAAGTACTTAAAATATGTTATTACTCAACAATACTCAGATATAGTCACAATGTCAATATAGACCTTCCTTCTTTATTCACAGTTTTCTTGTTCTTATCTTTGTTATTTTCACATTTTTTTATTATGACCATAACCTCTTCCGTCCTCCTTTCCCCATTGCCTTGTAAGTATTGCAGGGAGTCTTCAGGGACTTCAGACGCTGTTGTTTGGATTCACAGACACAGCATATCACCAAAGCAATTTAACTGGGCCTGTTACATCCAGCGAGAAATGCCTCGTTCTGTGACAGTAAATTTTATTATCAGTTATTATTGAGGCATCTCTACCCATGACAGGGAGGTTGGATTAGATGACCTCTGAGGTCCCTTCCAGCCTATGCCATTCTATGATTCTATGACTCTGCAATCTCATGTACGCAGGTCAAAAATCACCTGAATCAGAGCTAAAACTCCCTCATGATCAAAGTATGCAGATTAGATCAAAGAATTAAGAGCCCCTAATAAAATGACCTTTATTTATAGTGATTTAAGATGCAGCTTTCAAGAGCTCTTTTTCAACACAGTCATGAGTATTATCTATAATCTTAGACTAGGCTGCTGGAAAAGATCTGGAAGAGTTTAAAGCGATTATCTCTTAAACCAAAAACCCTCTGAAACAACACAGCAGTGTCTAATAATAAGTGTCCAAGTAATAACACTTAATTCTTTGTCAAAACACGTACTCACATTTTATCATGGGGAACTTTGTTATGCTGTACCGGATGCATTAACCTGTTGTTTCCGCTGATCTGCAGCTTGTCTTTGGGTGATTTCAACAACTTGGAATTTGATGATGATGCACTAGTACCTCCACTGGATGAACGATTGCTCCCACTTCCACTGCTACCTTTGTTTTTTGAAGGGAAAGATGAAATGAGGGAAAATACTGAAGAGGAGGGAGGAGTCAAAGGCGGCTTGCTAGAGGAGCTGTGTCTTCTTTCTGAAAACGAGAAAAAAAAGGGGTTTTAAGCTCCCGTACAGAAACAATTCTTAAATACTTCATGTTTTTGTTTACTCCATTAACATTTTTCCTTTGTTGGCTTGGGAGGTCCGCTGCCACACACGTAGCATAAAGGATTCAAGCCTCGCTGTAATCCATGAGGCTCCATTCATTGCTGGTCCCCAGTTGCTTATGGGAGTCTCATAACTTTGGGAGCTACATTCCTCACCCACTGAAGCTTAGCTTTTAGTAACACTCCTCACCCTCTCTCCATCTTAAAGAACAAGAAAGTGAGAAACAAATCTAGACTTCAGACACAAAAAGTAAAGAGATCCTTATCCTCAGGCCAAGCAAGCTTAAATATCAGATTTCCTCAAAGGTAACAATTACCTGTAAGTATATCTCCTAAGGGTCAAAATTATATTGGAACCAATATTTTAACTTTCACTTTATGACAAGCTTTTGGTATGGTCTACTAGATCTTCAGTGTGGAACATCCCTGAGAACAGCAGCTCAAGTATTAAACTACATCGGGTTTTGGGGTGTTGTGAAGTTTTTTGTTTTGTTTTCCTCTTCTTGATGCTATTAATTTTTTTCACAGTATGACCAGTTTAGGGAGGATTTCTACTTAGGAACAACATCAAAAGGAGCAACAGACATTATTCGACCAAATAAAATTATTATCTGAACATTTGAATGTAAGAGTGGTCAGGTTCCATCAACGAACGTGTTGGAAAAGAAATTATTTAATTAACACTAAACCATTAACATTAATATATTGCTAGCATCATTTCTGTTAAGTAGAGTGTATTATAAAAGCAGTTCTTTAAAACAATGATTTCTCAGTCACAAAACACCTGACAGCTTCAGGGAGTACCCAGCTCTGCCTACACATGGAAATGTTATTTGACCATTTGCTCGACTGATACTTGGACACCTGTGATTCCTCGATGATCTGTGTAATCAACACCTTAAGAGACATGTCTGGCAGTCAAGCATATGCAAACCACAGATCTAAGAGAGAACCAAGAATTAGCAGGTCCATCAGGGGAGTGGGAAGGCACCATTCTCCTCGACAGCAGTAACACCTTTTTCTCAGCCAAGTATTGTTAAAGGTGCCGAAATCCAGCACTGATCAATCCCAGGATCACTTTACAGATTTTGGCTTACGTTTACTTAAACTGTGAAAGAAGCAGGCAACTCATGAAGTTACAAGTACAGCCAAGAGTGAAAGTCAAGTCCAGCGCAACCTGTACAGAAGCCTGTAACACTCTGCAAAATGTAAGTTAATACATCCGTCTTCTGCTTATATGACTTATTTCCCCTCCTGTCCTAAATACAGCAATCACATGCCACTCAGATGATGACCAAACAGGACTCCATTCGTAGCTGGAAGCCATGGAAGAAGACAGCACCAGCCCTGCACCAGTGATGTCCAGCACATCACCCACTGCACGGCTCCTGCAAGCAAGACTGTAACAGAGTGCAACAGCAATAACCAGGGGAAAGAGGTCCAGCCACTCCGGCAGTGCGAGAGGAAGATATAGGAGTCTAACACCAGGCAAGCTAATTTCTTACAGAGGTGGGGAAGTTGCATTTTAAATATGTTCATTAGCTCAGGTTAAAAAAAAAAAAAAGCAAGCATAGAGATTAGACAAGGAGGCTCCAGTCAAGAAATTGTCTGAGATTGAACCAAGTGATATGCTTCTCTGTTTAACTGCATAACGGGTGCGAACTGCCTAATGAACCTTCTGCAAAAGAGTGACCACTTCTTAATTAATATTTATGCCAAAAAGCTCTGAGAGGCCAGGTGAGACACCCAACAGAAATATGTAACAAATGCTGCAATTTATCACCCCTCTCAAGAAATAACTGCTTTAAAATTTTAGTATTTAGAACAACTAGTTACCTGTGATGTTCAAAATCATCTACTTCGTTTTCTAGAACCAGATGCCATTGAAGAGTTTGTCAGTGAAGTGTGTTAGCATATTTATGTTCTAGTAAATGGTTGTGCTTCTAACATGACATACTGCTTATTGCCAAATATCTTTTTATAGCAATGGCAAGAATCCCTGAGCAGCTCTGACAAATTACTATTTGAGGGCCATTAGTTCAGCGATGCTACACCCTGCAAGATTACTCAGCGAGATAATGGCAGAAATTGCTCAATTCTCTTCCACCTTCTGTATAGTTAGAAAATCCAAAGTCCAAGTTCTTATCACAGTTACAAATAATCTCTAAAAATCCAGTGGATGACTAATGCAATCTTTGGGAGTTTGTTTTGATTTTCTTGTAATGTTTTTCTTGTTTGTGGGTTTTTTGTTTGTTTGTTTGTTTTTGGTTTTGTTTTGGTTTTGTGTGTTTTTTTTTTTGTTGTTGTTGTTTTTTGTTTTGTTTTTGTTTTTTGTTTTTTGTTTTTTTTTTTAAGGAAGAGAGGGTGTTACTCCCTTGGAGAAAACCTGGCAGATGAGAAGAGAAAGGGACTAGAATAAGACTGAGTACTTCCTTGCATCCCATAATGAGGAATAAACTAGACAAAATATTAATCTCAGCTATTAATCCAAATGATACAAACACTTATTTTTCTGGCAACTGGTACTGCTCTCATACTAAACTGAGATGTTACTGACTACTATTTGTGTGAATGTTTCATAGCACCAATCTCAATATAAGTAAGTTAATATAAAAGAAAGTGTTTTAAACTGCAGATAATTAAAAAAAATTGACCTAAGAGAACTAAAACTAATGGCTGATCACACACCAAGATTACAGTCTACCTGTCAGAGAGAATCTCCATTCTACAGACAGATGTATGATTTGGAATATACACACAAAAAAGCATCAAATTAGCGTTTTCTACAATTTTGGGACAATTTCCAAAATTGATATTACAAGATTGTAAGTCTGTGAAACGTGCACTCCTTCTGTATGTAACCACGACCTGTGCAGTTTAGCAACAACATGAGAAGACTTTTCAGCTAATTTTTTGTAACACGTTTGGACCTGTTACCTGCTGACCTGCATACAAGTAGAGGTATGGCTGCTACTCGGGTTTACTTATATTTAATGTCTCAGTCTTTTTATAAAACTAGTGGTTTTAAGTGAAATCTGCTAAAGGTCTGTTTTGTAAACCATCTGAACACTACTGATGTCTTATTGGAGAAAGCTAATATTATTTTTGAAACTAGACATGTTTTAAGCAGGGCATACTTGATCTAATGAATGTATTTATTGACAGATTGACACAGTCTTTTAATAGAAAAATTATTACACAAACTGTCACAATAATCAAGACCACCATGCGTATTATGCTAGAGCATATTATAATGACAAACTCTACTTATCATCTGTCAATCTAATACGCTTCTCATTTGCCATTAACTCTGACTCAGCCTGAAAACATTTAAAAATATAATTATTTCCAGGTGTTCAGTTTTCAAATTTCAAAAGTTAGCACTATCATCCCTTCCCTTCACACAACTCTTGAAAGAAAAACAATTTTTTTATGTCATGACTACTTTTACAACATGAAGTGATATTTCAAATACTGGATCTCTGTAACACAGTTCTCAACGCCAAAATTTGGGAGAGGATTTTTGTTTGTTTTTATTTTTTTAAATATCAGAAAGATGAAAGTTTTGGCTTTGGACAAAGAACCAGAAAGTCATCCTTGATCCTACAGCACCAGGCAGAATCTGACCTAAAATGAAAGATGCATTCAACACTAAACCTTAACAGATAAACTCCTCCCTAAATATCTTTGCACTTATATAACATCTTTGTGACCCTAAGTAGAAGGGCCGTACAGAGAGTTAGAAAGCTGTGAAAAGAGATGGCATCCCAGCAAAGGCTGTCTCTGCTCAGTGACTAGGATTTCTGTTAACTATCAATTTGGAAAAATACAGCGATAGTGTGTGTGCTACTGCACTTGTAGTTGAGCAAGAATTACATACGCATACTGCTGAAACACACAGGACTTCCTGATAAAATGGATATTGCTAATTTGCAATATCCATTGCAGGGTGAATGGTTGGACTCGATGATCTTGAAGGTCTCTTCCAACCAGATGATTCTATAATTTAAATATCTTCAAGAGCTCAAAAAAACCCCAAACAGCCTCGCTTGGCCCTTAGCTTGGCTGTTGATATTCTTGGGTTTAAAATCCTATTTTCCATTGTGTATTTCCTACTAAACATGCACTAATTTCTGACAAAATGCAAAAAAGTAACCTGCAAGGGGAAGAACAGAAAGGAGAAAGAAAAAAAGAAAGCTCCTCACTATGTTTAGCTACTAATACTTGTTCTTCTATCAATGAGTAAACACTTGGACTTACTGTGATTTATAATCTTATTTCTATATTAAAAGATGTCCTTTCACAAAGAAAGATATTCTGTTTTTCATAAAATGCTACTTTCTTTGCTGTATGCTTAACAAAAAAATAATTAAGAGTAACAATACTTTTAAAATTTTTCAAAACATTCCTCTGAGGTCTACACTTAGTTCCCAAAATCTAGGAAGTGTTTCGTGCTGTTCATTCTCTCTGGGCATCAGTTAATAGCTTTGGGCAGCAAATACAAGATGTACAGATCAAATTTCATAAACCCTTTTTTTTTTATACTGACTTCTTACATAAGTACTGGGCAAAAAGTCAAACTGACCTGTGTCAGTGCTAGCAGAGCCGTCATTAGAAACGAAGCACACCCATTCAAACACACAAGTTTTGTTTCAGGGAAATACGTTGTAACTTCAGTTAACACTCAGAAAACCACTTTAACATAGGCTAGCCTAGGTTTAAGAGTATCATTCAGACTATCAAATTAAATCTGTATATTGAAACAAAGCATAAAGATAATTTTACATTTAAGTAATTATTAGTTCATAGATCTGTCTCACCACAAGTGTAAGCATGATAAAAGTGCTACTTACAACAAACATCTTTTTTTCCATCATACTGAGCTACTGTTTGACTTGTCATTTGAGAAATTATTTAGTAGAGCCAT